TTGTTCGCAGCATATTTAGGTAGCCCTAGGCATAAGCGTAGTGATTCGCAATGTTATTGTCTCAGTCGATCCCAATTATTTTTTTTAAGACTGACCCGAACATGAGATGAAAAGAAATTGCAAATAGCAAAGCCATGAGTGTTGTAGTGCATGAACACCTGGTATGCATGAACATAAAGTGTTTGTAAAAAAAATTCCGCCATATCCACGAAGTGAATGATGATGAGTGGGCGAAGCTCCGGAGGTAAACCTGGTAAACCATGAATCCTCTGTACATTTTGCCCACTCGATTTTATTACATCGCTCCCCCTAGCGTACGTCGCCACACTAAATCGAACGATTGCCTTCAACCAATGACACGCGCCATATGTGACATCATTCCTATTTTATAAGATCTCGCGTCTTTCATCACTACAAGTACCGCTTTCTAGTTTATAACATCTTGCATCTTTTCATCATCAGCTACAAGTACCACCATCTAGTAAACACTACAAGAACTAAACGAGAGGTGGCTACATACAGGAGACGGTACCGCCATCTAGTGAACACTGCAAGAACTAAACTAGAGGTGGCTACATGGATGGATGGATGGATGCTATGAGCGTCCCCTTTATAACGGGGTGGTGACAAGTATGCCACCAGGCTCGACAAAAAAAAAAACCTTTTTTTTCTTTTTATGTTGGCCTAATGCCTCTACTTCGATAAATTCTATCTTAATGGAAAAAAAGGTAAATTTTCAGCTTAAGTTCTCTGCCATTTACGGCACACTGTCCATATTTTTTTTCAATATTTATTTTTGTCCTTTCTCTCTAATTTTCTGCCACCAATACTCTAACCGTCTCTTACTTATTTCAATCGCGGGTGTGTTCAGCTTTCCATTGTTGTCCCTAAAACCCAAGGCTTCCTGTAGGCTCGTGCCCAAACGTACACCTGGGTGGATATCTCCACATTCAATCAGAACATGCTCCGCCGTTTCCTTATCTTTCCCGCAGCATGTGCATTGTTCTTCTTCTTTACTGAATCTTGCTTTATAACTACGCGTTCTAAGGCAACCCGATCTCGCTTCAAACAGTAAAGCGCTTCCCCTTGAATTATCGTAAAATGCCTCCCTCCTTTATTCATTTTTGCCCTTTCGGTAGTTACTCAAAGCCGGTTTTTTCTCCATAGCTGCCATCCAGTAAATCCTCTCCGCCTCCCTGACTTTTCCCTTAACGCTCTTTGTTGACATATGGCTTACAATACCAGCCGTATACTTACTAGTGAGTCTTCTAGTTCTTTTCTCCACTGTGTGTCCACGCTCTTCCTATACAAATAACGGAACACCTTCTCTGCCCATCTACTCTCCTTCATATTTCTTAGCCTTTCTTCGAACCTTATTTTGCTCTGCGCTTCCCTCGCCTCAAAACCTGCCCACCCCATATCGCCCTTTACAGCCTCGTTTGTCGTCTTCCCGTGAGCACCCAACGCGAGGCGTCCCACAGTCCTTTGATTTACATCCATTCCCGCTTGCACCTCTGCCCTCATGCACACCACTGAGTTCCCACAAGTAAGCCCTGGAACCATTACACCCTTCCACAGACCTCGAAGCACCTCATACCTATTGTATCCCCACAACATACAGGGGACGGTACCGCCATCTAGTGAACACTGCAAGAACTAAACTAGAGGTGGCTACATACAGGCTACAGGGGACGCACAGCCCACGCCCTAAGGAGCTTCGCCCCTAAAACTGTTCGCGTGTATGCTGCTGGAAACATGGCTATTGCGGTTTTTGAGCGTGACCGATACGAGTTGATGAGTAACTGTACGTCGTTGAAACTGTTACATTCGGTGGCCCATAGTTTAACACTTAGTATTCAAGTTCAGGCCTCCACATTATTATGCGTTTGGAACACCGAAACGGTGCTCTCGTACAAAATTTTCCACTTCAATATGACTAAGTCAACGAAAGTTGGTATCTAGTCTCGCTGGTAGGTATTTTCGAGAATGGTTTTCGTAGATGAGATTTTAAAGGGCTTAGGCGCCATGTACTGCCCTACACTATTTCGATCAAAATGATTTTACCGAGCGATTTTTGTGAAGAGCAGCAGTGCTCACTTATTTGTCGTCTGCACAAGGCTATCCACGTCGGTGCGTGCAGCGCCCCAAGCGGCATCAGCGCGCTGTGAAGGCCGATTTTCACACCTCATAATTCTAGCCGCCCAAGCGGAACGCTGAGCGCATTCAGCCGTATTGGCTTGTAGCGTCTCTTTTAGGGGCGAAGCTCCTTATTGTGGCACTTGTTCGTCCATCGTAGCCATTGTAGTGTGTAAAGGTTGGTGCACACCGGCGACTAGCCGCGGTCGCGTGACCATTTGCGACTGGCGACCAGACTGCGAGCGACGTTCACACCGGCAAGGCTTCATGCGAGCGACCGGAAGTCGCAAACCCGGAGAGTTACGTACAGATCTCGTTATCAACGAGAACTTGGGCGACCGGCGACGATCAGCTGATCAGATACGGAGCCCGCTGAGCGCGATGCGTTTGTTTTTGACGGCTGTGTTTGCGTAGCGTTCTCCCGGCAGCATCATAGACTTCGAGTCGAGTGATGAAGAAGAGGTTGTGGCGGTGCTGATGTGCTCAGCCAACGTGTCAGCGCTGGCAGCACGAAAACGTTCAAAGCAAGCAAGGCGGTGGTGGGTGAGACCGTCCCTTCGCTCGCGAGAAGTGGCTGGCCACACAGGGCGTCTGCTTCCCGACTTGCGCTCGCACGACGAGGAGTATTTCCGAGAGTAAGTTTATGGTTGTTTTACGTGCTTATAAGATAGTGCATAACATGTTATCTCATTCTTTTTTGCTGGTTAGCTTCATGCGGATGCCGCCACGAACGTTCGACACTTTGCTCGAACTGCTGCGCCCCGCAATATCCAAGCAGGACACAAACCACCGGCCTACAATTTCGGCGCACGACTGCCTGGTCATGACCATTAGGTAAGAGTGTGTGGTTTGAAGATTAATATGCTGTGGCTTGTGGCTGTGCTTCGCTTGTAAGGAAGTTTCGCTTGGGCGGATAGAACGAATTGCATTTATGACGTATGCGGGCTCGATGGTGAAGTCGTTACTGCGGTCGGCAGTTTAGGCGTAAATGAGGGGTTTGATTACGGCCGCATCGATCGCCTTTAGGTGGAGGCGAAATGCACTTAAGTTGGCGCGTTTGTTGCGCACGTACGTTAAGAATCTCAGGTGGTGAATATTTCAAAACCATCTGTTGTGGCTCATTGCGTAATCAGTACGTGGTTTCCGCTTGTAAAATCACAAAAAATGGGATTCTGCGCTACACAATGACATTACTTTGTGGACGTGTCAGTTCCCGTTTTCTGTTATCCTGATGCACAGGTACTATATAGAGCGCAATTATGATGTTATAAAATAAGTGAAACACAATCCTCAGCTTTGCGAGTACAATTATGCACAAATTGTTAGGACAAATTGATGTGCTGTTCAAGGAACTCAAAGAGTATTCATGCCAAAAATATTTTTCAGCATCGAGGAGGGAGGAGGTTCAACCAACCACCCTTTATGTATCTGCATGCACGACGGTGTGTGTTTGCACAAGTACACATGCGAAATTTCTCACAAACATGAGCAGCGTTTAACCCCTGCACCTTGCTACAATTTTACGTATGTTCTGTTAAATTGACAGTGACCCAATACACTGTGGACAGTAGCGCAGTGGCAAAACGTATTGTGGACGGTAGCACATTGTGTGAAAGCAATTTAAACAATAGACTTGAGTGATGTACGTTTTGCGAAATAGGTTCTCCTTGAATTTACAGCTTTTCAGAAATCCATGCTAAGCAAATTGCTACAGGTACGTTTAGGTTGCCCTTCTTCAACCTGAGTGATATGAGCACGTACGCTCTTCCATGAAAAGGTTGATGCATGCTTATGATTCGCCAAAATGTGTAGGCACAGAAATATTCACTGCATATACGACAGCTTGTGGAGTGCACAAGCAGTGCGACCGTTCGCGACCAGTCGCAGATGGTCGCGCGACCGCTCCTAGTCGCCGGTGTGCACCAGCCCTAATTAGGTTTAACTGTACAGCGCAATCGTTCTCTCAAAAGTGTACAATGGTTTTGTCCAAATGCGAGCAGTTGCTGACCTTGGCTGTCATGGAACTTGACAAATCGAAATTTCTAAAGTTACTCAATAAATATGCATTCTATCAGAAGCTGTGATGATGCCATAGAAAATAGACAGTAGAGGTAGCACTCATTAATACATAAAAATGAGGAACACTTTGGCAATGTAACGTCATGACTACGACACTGAAATGCAACTATGCGTGAGATTTTCAAGCTCAGCATGCTCCTTTTACAGTGTGTGTCTTCCATCATGGCTGTGCCGACAGAAATTTCACATGGCACTTATGCGTTTTAGGTATGCCAAGGAAGTGCGAGATAAATTGGCACACTACTTCGTCACAGACGGTCAGGTGCCTTGGCAGGAGAAAGTGGTGAACAGCACTTGAGGCGTACAAGGTGAAGGTGGGTTGTAAATCCATTTTATTGCTTACAGAACTTATGTACATAGCATCTTCTTAAGCTAAACAAACAAGAGAAAAATCACCAGTGACACAACAGATACATTACAGGGAAAACTGTCATGTCCAAATATAATCATGAAAACACAAAAATAAATAATTTATGTTAAAATATTTGAGTTATTGCACGGTTATCACTACAATTATCACAGAAATAAGTTGCCCTAAAGGGGTCATGACACCCAATTTTCAACCATAATGTCTGTTGTATGAGCTGATTCTTGTATGTTCACATACAAGCTGGAAAAATTCGAGTGATTTGGTCAAGCTGCTAATTTTTAATCGCATATTTTTATAAACGAGCTAGTCGCCTGACAGTTGAGCAATACTGACGCACTCACTATCCATGACATCACGAACCGCTTGCTCGACAAGCTGCTGCACAGTGTGTAATCTGGCAGACGGTCGTGTTCCGTCGTCAACTACGCTTGCAATCAAATTTTTTCGCATTGTTGAACTCTCCACTAAACCTAAATGACTTCCAGGGGTCGAAACATGGCTACTGTGTCAGCAATGTAGTGCTGGTACTTGCAGCAAATAATTTCGGATGTCAAAATGGGTCCTGTGAATGTGCAATGCGTATACCATTTGCCATTGCTCCTTCGACTTGTGACGTCTCGCATGCCATGACAAAATGGCGGTCACTTGTGGTAGGTTGAGTTTTAGGAGCCGAGCACTTCTACGGCATATTTTTGATTAAAATGATCTCTTAAGGCCCCTTTTCACACGTGTACTAGCACATTTTACTCTGTAGTTTTGTTTTTTGCTGACAACCTTCAATTGTTCAGTGACCAGTCATGACCCCTTTAAGTTGAGACTAGAAAAGTGAACACAAGATAAAAAAGATGGGTGTCATTGACATTATATAAACACTTCAATTTGCTTCACTGCTCTGATGCAATTTTGCCTCTGCTTCATACAGCATAAGTTCTACTGCATGCATTACATCTTGTGCAATGTGCACTGGTAGCTCTCTGAGGCGTGCATCGGTACGTAGAGCGAAGAAACCAATGTTATCTTTTTTGATGACCCCCTTGTTCGCTCTGATGTGTTCAAGGTGCTCCATGCACGCTTGCGCCACAGCTTCATGGCTTGTGCCCTCTCCTGCATTGCTGCAAAGCAAGTGTGATCTGCGATTCATGCATATGAATGCTTTAAGGTTGCATTGTTACTTCGTGAAGCACCATTTAGCAAAAAAAACTGTGTGAGAACGACAAGGTAGAAACAGAAGAAACAAGACAGAGCACTGACTTTCAACTGATGTTTGTGCTTTTCGGCACTAAGAAAGAAAAAAATATAGAGGAACTGAAGCAAATTAAATAGCACACTTAAAAGATAAATGTGTCAATAGGGCGTCTACCTCTCTGTGAGAAATAAATGGGCTTTTGATCTTTGAAACGGACACTCGTGTTTTGGGACAGGGTGCTGATGTTCTGACATTAACGCCTAAATATTACGGTAGTTACATGGGTTCTGTCTGCCTTAGTATAAATGTGCCCACAATAAAAACATCAGTTTAAAGTCAGTGCTCTATCCTGTTTCTTCTGTTTCTACCTTGTCGTTCTCACACTCTTTTTTGTTACTATGTCTGTGTACCAACTTGACCGAGCGTTAACCTTATAAAGTTTTGTATTTTGTAGCATGCGCAGGATTGTTAGAAAAAAATCTGCAAGTTTATCTTCTAAGAGTTAGCGGTATATCTCACCTAGTGCCCTCGCAGGTCCGTTGTCGTCTTGACGAGCGTGACCTGCAGTGAATTATACATATTGCCTAAATGTACAGAAAGAGATCTTTTTTCGAAAAGTTGTGATTGTGATCTCTTGCCAGGAGTACCTAAAATAATTTTTTCGTTTACACACCGTTTTGATGGTGGCTGCTCTCTTGAGGTGGTTGCTGAAGCATCACTGCAGAAGGGGGCAGTATTATTATACAACTTATAAAGTGTTACAATTGCATGCAGCAGAATCTGGTGTGAAAACATTAGGCACATTCTCCAAATGTGCTAGAACATGAAGAAGGTTACAAAACATGTTTTTAAGATATAATAGATAGGCTATCTATGCATGCCCTTCATTTGTCATTACTTAGGTGGATAAAGGTTTTACTCATTGCTGCAGGTGTCGACACCAGTCTCCTCAGCCGTATCAGGGGTACGTTCCGGTTCCGCTGCATGGCTTGGCCGAGGCGGTGATCTGCAGTGATGAAAACTTCTCTCTATGTATTTGATGATGCCACTAGTACATGAACAGTTTTAGGCATTCTTCGGGAGTTAAAATGCCATTCTGATTTCACTCAACACGAGGTTTATTTTACACTTGCGTTACCTCTTGATTGAGCACTGCTGTATGTAAGGTGTGCATACAGAAGTTTAATGTGCCTATTATGTTAATAAAATGCTATGTAGGTTGCGCATCTAAATAAGAACAAGAGGTATTGTCACAGAGATGAAGTAAAGGTAGAGAAAGAACTCAAGCAGCTGATAAGCACGTGAGGGTGTTAATCAGCCATTGTAAATCTTGCCTGTGGGTTTTCCCCTGTAAACGCATTTCGTACAAAAGTCTCTAACCCCGTAACAATATCTCACTGGCTATGTGAATGAAATTTATACAGTCAATCCTAAATGGCTGTGCAAACGATGTGTCTGATGAAACTGTGCCTGCTGTCATTATGTTTCTTGAACACATGCTGCATACGACTTTTGCAGCATCATTTTACTGCTAGGAATGAGTGAATGCTTCACATTATTCAGCTCACTTGTATTGCAATCAGCACTGGGCACTTGTTCATAAGGAATTGACATGAATGTGTTGCCAGTGTATGCAGATAATGCATTAGTTTGCCTAATTGCGGCCTGTTGCTGATGAATACCTTGCTTTTTCAGAAATATTCGACGTTGTACAATAACCACATTCACACAGAAACAATGCCTGTGCCCTCATGTATTCCTGTGTGCTTTTGTTCAGTGTTGAGGGCTAAATGTATTTAAAAAAATGCAGTGGTTTGGGCAAGCTAACGACCTGAACACTGCCTTTCAAGCATGCTTGTATTTTTCATAATTTTGCAAAGTACAATCATCTAGTAATAAAAAATAATGTTTCTAGGTTCAAGTCCATGCGTGTACAGCTTCAAGTGCATGCACATGGTACCGAAAATTTTTGTGCATGCTCATCTCTCGTTAGCCTCTTCTGCTGTGATGTGGCTGCTGCAAGAGAACATGCAATATGTGATTCTGTCAGTGCTATTGTTTGCATTTTTAGAGCATTTTCACTGTTTTGCTACAATATAAGTACTTACGCTGCATTCTTGTAATGAATATGTGCAATGCTTGTCTATGAACAGCCTCATGACACATGCAATAAGCGACCTCTTTAGATTTTTATATTTTGTATTAAGCCTTCCTTCTTTTGGTAAATGAGAGCCGAGAATGACACAGAAGTACACTCAATTCTCTCATTCTTACTGTTCTGTCTTCAATATTCTGTTTCGTGAAGCTGTCCACGTGCCACTTGTACGGTATGCTATATTTTTTGCGTTGTGCTGATGCATTGTGCTATGCTAACCAAAACATTTCATTTTCTGTTCAATGGACGGTAAGCATTATTCATTACCTTTGGTCAATGGCACTCATGTTTCACAGTATCCAGAAAGAATGATGCACTGAGTTATTCTTCGTAGCTGTAGCCACAGTTATTCGACATCAAAACAGCCCATTGCCATCATGTTCATGATCGCATGCATGCCCACTGTGAATTACCTCTTGGGACTTCTATGTTTATGTGCAGTGTACTTATGTGTATTGATATGTGAGTATTTATGTGTATGTATAACAGTCATGTGAATTAAATCAACTTTTTTTTTTTGTTTAGTACTCAATAGTCAGCTAATATTGAACTTACGCCACAGGCTCAGACTCTCCTTCCATTAATTCAAGCATGGCCTCAAAATGGGGCCATTTTATTGTTGGAATGTTGGCTGCTCTGGCTCCACTTTTTTGTTTTTTCACGTTTGTCGTGTTGTTTCCTTTTGAAGATATCACGCAGGTTCTTAAATCGTTTCTCAACAAGGACACCTGAAAAGAAACCCTTGCTGTAAGAATGTATTGTGCATACTGTATCGCTGATAAATTTTCTACTTTTTTTCAGCACAATTGTGAGCGGTCTTTATTTTCTTTGCCCAGATCATTTCGGCTGCAGCACCCTAGAAATCTGAATATTGGGCAACAAAATGAATTGCATGCCATCTAAACTTAACTATTGGTAGGGGCTTAAACATTGCAAAACCACGACATGATTGAGGGAACCTGCAGCCGAGGGTTCCAGAAATGCTACCCACCTAGTGTTTTGGACCGTCCACCTACATGTGCACGACATCACAGCTGATGCAATGATTAGTTGCGCAAAGAGTTATGTACACTGTTTCTTGAAGGTAAGCATGTCTGCCAAGCTATTGTAACAAAGAAGCTGTTTATACTGTCGGAAATTGAAGTTCACTTGCAAAAAGTCTATTTCATGAACCAGCACATGATGTCTTTATCACCTTCTGAGTGAAACTTTCTAAGCATTACTGCATTGTGCAAAACTCCACAGGTGACTATATCCCATTGGTATCGGCCAAGCGAAACTGTCGTGTACAGCGGGAGTGATTGTTGTCAAACAAAAGCAAACATGTTAAATAACTTGAAAAGAAGGAATGGAACTAACTAGAGCAAGATGACAATTTTTGAGAGAAAGAAATGCAACAAACATAGTATATGACTCAAAGTGTAACATAGAGAGAGCGAGAGGAAGGAAATTATAAGAAAATAAAGGGACCAAAACATGAAAACATACCAACACATAGAAGCAGACATGAAAAATTGACTTTAAAATATAGGAACAAAGAAAACAAGCAAAAACGAGGCACAGTTGGAAGCGGAGAGATAACCTGTGGGAATAGAGGAATAATCGAAATATAAAGGCACCAATAGACAAAAACACAGGAGGAGGAAGCAAACAGTTGTGAAGAAATGAGATTAGATATGGGCCACATTGCAGAGGAATAAATTCCCCCATCTGTGCTTTCCTTCAGTGTTCGCCCAGCCACTAGAACACTACCATATCTTTTTTTTTTTTTACGATTGCATGTCATTTGGCATCAACAGCAGACTCCCAAATCTGGACATTTGAGAGTGCTGCTAAATATGTTTTGTATGTCTTAATTACACGCTCCTCTATGGAGTGCACAAAATGCGCTCAAAGCAGAAGCTATTTTGCATTCTTTTTTTTTAAAACAGCACAACTGCAATGCATAGGCAGAATTAAAGCGTAACACCCCCCCCTCCCTCACCGCGCACTGAGTATTATGCATTGCAAATGCCGCACGTTCACAAAAGCACACATTCCCTTGGCCAGACGATGACGTACAAACACAGCAAGGAGCATGCGCTAGGTGAGTTGGCAACTGCGCGCAGTATTTCGAACGTCTGAGCTTTATTATCATCTATACAATGTTCTGTCATGTCGATTTCGATGTTAAACTCGGAAAGTCGCGAGAACAAACGTGCACACAACTGCGCTCGCATACATCACAGTCAATACATCTCATGCAAACTAAAACCTTGCAGTACAAATACCAATATTTTTATTGTTCATTCATTGGCAACGCCAGCCATGCAGTACACACCTGTTCTTGCTTAATAGCTACTGAAACAAAAAATCTCGGTACTTACTCGACATGCCGAACATGCTTCCGATCTCTGCCCAATCCCGGTCCTTCTTTGTCCGGTCTTTAAAAGAAGGGTGCCGCTTGTCATACAGATATGGGTACATTTTAATCGCGTCGATGAGGAGCTCGGCCGAGTACCCAAAGCTGGGCCGTGGTGGCATTCGCCTGATGCGAGGAAAAATCCACGGAGGAAACGTACGTGTCGTTCGTACCTCCGGCAGTAGGCAAGCGCAACGAGAAAAAAAAATAACATACGAGGTGGCCGGATGTAAACAAAGGCTGACGTCACTTCTGGTCTTCGCTGATTGGTTAAAGTGTTTTGCGACTGCAGTCGCGCGACCAAAAAATCGGTCAGGAAGCGACTGGCCAAAACAGTCGCTTTGCGACCGTTTGCGACCGTTCGCGACTGCTTGCGACCAGTCGCAAATGGTCGCGCGACCGCGGCTAGTCGCCGGTGTGCACCAGCCTTAACAAGTATAACATTTTGACCTCCAAGATGGTGCCGGTGAGAGATTTCTTCTGTGTGTTGTTGAACCATAAAAAATAGCGCTCAATGTACATGCCAATGGCTGCTAATAGGGAATGAGAGACAGGAGCATTCGGCTTTTAGTTAACGCGCACGCCGTGATCCCCATTAGCAGCCATTGGCATGTACATTGAGCACTCTCTGAAAAGAAAGGGTTGCTACGTTATACTCGCTGGGTGTAACCTCCTTAGTTTTAGCAAGGTTTAGCGAGCGTTCAGCCACAGTGCCATGAATACAATGAACTAGTATGTACCATGAACTCGAGGTGGTTAAAGGTGGAAAGTAGATACGAAGTGCAAGCCGTAAGAAAGTAAAAGCCGCATTCTCTTGTCTCTTATTTCCCATTAGCAGCCATTGGCATGTACATTGATCACTATCTGACAGGAAAAGGTTGCTACGTTATACTCGCAGGGCGTAACCTTCTTGGTTTTACAAAGGTTTATCGAGCGTTGGGCCGCAGTGCCATGAATACAGTGAACTAGTATATACAGTGAACTCGAGGTGGCTAAAGGTGGGAAGTAGATCCGACGCGCAAGCCGTAAGAAAGTATGCGTGTGCCGCCTCTCGTTTGCTCCTTGGAATGTCCGCTGGATAGAGGTGCTTCTATATGGGGAATATATGATGAAAAGGTGCGAGATAGTGGTACTTGGAGTGTTGAATAGATGGACGAACGGACACACAGACAGATGCATGGATGGGCGCATGAACGGGCGCAGGGGCGGAGCATGTACGAAACGCAGGGACGGACGCACGCATGACGGGCGGATGGACGCATAGACGGTCACACAGACGGGGGCATGGACGGACGGAAGCAAGAACGAATGGACGGACGAATGCTTCGCCCCCCTCTCCCTCATTCAATCCGTGGATATGCTGCCAAGTTTTTTTTCTTTTTTCGTGGTAGCGGCTTCGCGCCGCAAGGCGCCGCCGCGTAAAATGTCTTCGTTGGGGCATGTGTTTTTTTTTTATTTTATGTGATGTTCATCTCGACGCTTGCGGACGCGCGTTCTGACGAGAGCTTCACCTCTCAGATATTTCTTTTTCCGACTGACAGATTTCATTCAGTCAAAATTCAAGAGAGCTACCGTTTGCGCAAAGGAGGTGCGCTAGTGGACTGGCGACAGGAATGCGCCACAAAGAAGAAACAGAATATGCGAAGTGACAAGTGGTACCACACAGAAAGCCTTGCGAATCCTCTAATACCAGTTTATTTCAAAGTAAAACATTCAGCAAGCAAAGCAATGATATGCGAAGCCTCCTTAAAGAAGTTTGTTATGTGGCACTTTCAGAATGAGCATAATGTTTCAAAGCCTTACCAGGCGGGTAGATGTGGTACTCGGTAAACATACGTAGAACGTTTGTACGCGTGGACGTAACTAGAAAGCGTGCAAATGTAAGATTTGGTTGTTCATGGGTTCGTAACACCAGTACCACTAACGTGAGCACTTCCAGCACCATATTGGTAAGCTAAAATGTCGTTGTTATATTGGTCCGTGATTTTAGCTGCGCCAAGCGTATCTTAATTTCTCTGTTACATTCTTTTTTACTTGAGCAAGAGACTAACATGGATCGTGAAACGTCTTTGCATTTTTGTACTTGGACTTGGTCAGTGACCACATCCACATCTTCATCATTACTTAAGGTAAACGGTGAACTAACAGCTTTCTCTGAATCCTTTCTAACCCATTTTTTGCGCACTGTCGAAACAAACTGGCACCTATTTAAAACCAAACTACAGCACCTTATAAAAGCTTATGTTCCAACTGTCACCTTAACCGTAAGGTCAACATCCCCATGATTCACCGCATCATTAAAAGAACTTAAAAATAAGAAGTGCCACTTTCGCTCCGCTAAACATTCAGACACCCTGTGCATGTGGGACAACTTCAAAGCAGTTGATTGGGCTGGTTGATGCTGCATGGTACATGAAGAATGAAACAGCGCTGAAAACAGGACGAGAAGACGGCGCATACACGGCGCTAAACTAACGCTCAAAGTTATTGCAAACCAGCTGCATATATAGTAAACGTGATTTGCGCGTGACCACACAACATAAGCAGAATTTCACGTGCATGAGCCATACGGCGTACGTTATCGAGAACCGGTCACATCAGTGGACCCCAGGTAACTATAATTTCACAGCCGTGAAGAAAAGTTGCGGATACGCTAACACAAGAACCACAAAGTTGTTGAATGTGGAAGACTTCTGTAATCTCACGCTCACACTGATTTTTGATCTTCCCATGACCACAGACTTGTCAAGAATTGGCTGACAACGACACTTTTTACAATAGTCCACCAAGTGGCTGGGTAAAGAGCCTTTTACAGAGTAACAAGCTCTCTCAACCAATCATTAATGCATCGGCCTGTTTGGCCACTGTGACAGCAACCACAAGTAAATAGTATCCTGTAGACAAACGCTAAAACACATTCAACATTGCGCGTACCATGTTTTAGTACATGCTTCTTTCTTAGGTCCTTCACTGTTGACCCCGCAACATAGCCCATCAAGCTAGCTTGCCTCGTGTGCAGAACACAACTCTTACATCTATTTTTTCAGCGACATTTTTTAGCCTGTGGGAAACATTGTGTACAAATATAGGGCAACCAAAAAGCTTTTTGGTTTTCTCGCAGCTAGATCCAAGCGTTCTTTCTATTCTTTTACCTTACCTGATATGCTCTGAAATCCTAATCAGTTTGGGAAAGCAATTAGGCCATTATCTATTACCCCTTCCTGCAATAGTACACTACGAGACAAACAAAATGTTTCAATTCCTGAACACTATACTGCGCATGTATTAAATGAAACCTATGGCTCTTTTCTCACCATAGAATCGGACGGTGACCTTCCCCATGGCCTTTCTTTATGCCACCCGACCATGTCGAAAATCATATTTCATGTCAATTGTATTTCTTAAATATGAACCTACCACCAATTACTATACCTCCCGTGGCGTCCCTCAGGGCGCCATATTAAGTCCAACTTTATTTCACCTCGTGATTATAGGACTTCGTGAAATTGTGCCAAGTACTATCCTCATATCCATATATGCTGACAATATTTGTCCATGGACTTCGGCTGTAACTCGTCTAGAAGTACGTGCAAGAGTCCAGCAGGCTGCCACCCTGACATGCTCATATCTCCGCAAGCAAGGTCTTTTCGTCTCAACGGAGAAATGTGCATTGGTTGCGTTTACTCGCAGAGCCATGACACAATACCACGTTACCATCAATAGACAAAATATTCCATACCAGAGGAACCATCGCTTCCTGGGTGTGAATATTGACAGGGAAATTTCGTAGAGTGTCCACTGCAATTACCTGAAGAGAAGGCTAACTTCCATCGTTCATATAATGCGGTTCCTCTGCGGAAAATCTTGGGGCACATCAATAAGGTCGATGATGCAGCTTTACAGGGCAGTGTTTCTGGGATTTTCGCGCAACAGCTTGCCGTTCCCGGCAAGTACGTGCAAGACGAACATCCGCACCCTTGAATGTCTGCAAGGACAAGCACTACGCGTGTGCTTAGGATTGCCACGATGCACCTCAACCTACGGGGCAATTATGATCGCAAGAGAGCATCCAATTCAAACATACATCACCACTTACAATTTGAGAGCCCACATAAGACACCTCTACCGAGTTCCTGGTCACCATGTTGCAGTGTTGCCACTTCAAAGACCACAAGCGATGTTTTCAAAGGTTATTTCTGCCCATATAGAATGCCTTCCTTTTGGCTTCACTCCAGCAACAAGACCAGTGTCACCTCCGTGGTGCCTACAACAACCACAGGTGTGCCTCACTATTCCGGGAATAACGAACAAGAGCCGTCATTCAACAGTGGTCCTATGACAGGTGACATTGTCACTACTCAACGAAAAATACGGCCAGAGGACCCACATTTACACCGATGGATCGGTCTCGCCTGAGAGCTCCACAGGTGCTGTTGTCATACCGACGTACCAGGTCACTATAAAGTTCAAACTGTCGCATAAGACAACATCCACCGCCCCGCCACGGTGGTCTAGTGGCTAGGGTACTCGGCTGCGGACCCGCAGGTCACGGGATCAAGTCCGGGCTGCGGCGGCTGCATTTCCGATGGAGGCGGTAATGTTGTAGGCCCGTGTGCTCATATTTGGGTGCTCGTTAAAGAATCCCAGGTGGTAGAAATTTCCGGAGCCCTCCACTACGGCGTTTCGCATAATCATATGGTGATTTTGCGACGTTAAACCCCCCAAATCAATCGATCAGGACAACATTCACAGCAGCGGAGCTTACCGCCTTACATGCTGCTATACTTTATATCGCGGAAGCCCGACCTCAAAAATGGGCTGTGTTCTGTGACTCCAAGGGATCCCTTCAGAGCTTGCAATCAGCTTTACGACAAAGCGAGCATCAACAACTAGTGAATGAAATAGGAGAAGTGATTTACGAAGTATTATTGAAAGGACATGACATGGTGTTCCAGTGGTTACCGGGACATTGCAGTATTGTCGGTAATG